CTAGTTATATTATTTTCTATGTAGCTTGCTTCAGAAGATTATTTCTTACGTTACCAAATGTGTGACTGAGCCTGTGATAAAATGCTGGTATGCAGTTCCATATGAGATCAATAATTGTAATAATGTAACTCTAAATATGGGAAGAAGCAACAAGAGGAAATATTTTCCTGGACCAAGAGGCTAGTAAGACAGGTGTGGTCCAGAGACTTTTGCTACTTACCAGGCCTGGTCTAGGGACAACACACTGAGTGGCCTGTCAACGGAATCTTTGTTAGATCTGGGAATGAGACTTTCCAGCACCATGGGACACAATGACCATGAAATGCCCCAAAACACAGTCAAATATGTGGCTATGAAAGGGCCCTGCTGACTGGAAGTTGGCCCTTGCCAGCTGCCTCTACAAAGGTTAAATCATGACCACTATAAGATGCTGACCTTCAACACCCCCTTGAAAAGAGTTCAGGGTGGAGACAAAAAATAAGGCACTCTGTGCTCTGGGAAAGTCCCAGAAAAACAGGCTTTCAGATAGTCAATGTTTTCAGGTAAAGATTTTTATGAGTCCAAATCCTTGCATCTTTTCATATCTAGAGAAACACTAATGTCACAAACCAATGTCTGGACCTGGTTCTCCTGGCTAGCCCTCCAGCAGCTTTCCTACTTCTATTAATCTTTCGCCCATATATCTTTAACTTTGTTAAGTTTGTTTCTCCAAGTAGTAGTACGACAAGAATATCCTCCAGCCAACACCCAGACAATGCTGGAACAAGCTGCCTTATCATTCTGTGGACTCTCATCTCCCCCTGTAAATGCACCCCAAAATACTATTCTCCCTTTGAGATCTTATACGGGAGACCACCCCCAGTGATAGAAAAGCTCAAGGGAGACCACCAACAACTAGCTGACCTGGAGCTGTCCTGACACCTCCAGGCCCTGGGAAAAGTCTTCCACCAAATTGCCCGAGAAACCTTAGAAAGGACACCCATTCCTTTGGGCAGTTGGGTTCATCCCTATCAGCAGGAGATGAGGCATGGTTAAAGACTAGAAAAAGGAACCACTTCAGCCAGTTTGGACGGGCCCTCACACAGTCGTCCTGGCAACCCCTGCTGCGTTCATAGCATAGGTGTCATTCCTCGGATCCACCACACCAGTCAAGAAAGCAGCAATTTCCTGTGATGAGGACACCTGGAAAGCAGTTTAGGATCCCCCAAAATCTCCTCAAGGTCCGGTTCCAAAGACAACAGCCCTCACCCGTGAAGGACGCTGAGCCCTGCTCTGTCTGGTCACTCCAGAGCTGACCAGTCCACGCGCGGCAGAAGCTTGAGGATTCTTCAGCCTGGCTCCAACCACACTCCAGCGGCTGCCGGGTCAACACACAGCCGAAGCTTGAGGATCCAGCCATCAAAATATCGATGGATTTTCATTGTCAACCCTGGCCTCTATCCCTAATCGGTATGATTGCTGTTCTCTTCATTACAGGACCAGCTGGACTTCCTGGCTGAGGGGGTTTTACAAAGTAGGGAGGGCTAGGCCTACTGACAGCCAAAAAGGGAGGAACCTGCCTCTTCTCGAATGAAAAATGCTGCTTTTATGTAACCAATCAGAAATAGTCAAGGACATGGCCCAACAGCTAAGGGAATGAAGCATAAAAGGAGAGAGAAACGAGCTAATTCCTGGGATAACTGAAACAATATGGGAGCTGGGCATCATGGCTTCTCCCTTTAACAGGTCCTCTCTTCACGCTCTTTGCAATGCTCTTGTTTGGCCCTTGTATCCTCAATACAATTACTAGGATCATAACCTCTTGGATTGAATCCGTAAATTTACATATGGTAATAGCTCAATACAGCCCCCTAAACAATGGAGAGCTCTGAAAGTCCTACCAAAACATGAGATGATGCTTTCTACAGTGAATGAGAGAAGCACGAGGGGAGAATGAAGAGGAAAAGTTAAAATTTCACGTAATCTCCTGCTCCTTCTGCCTTTGTAACTCAGCTTGCTCCTTGCAAAGTCTGGATCATGTAGGTCACAGAGTCTCAGAAAGTGGGGAATACTAGGAACTGGAGCTTATCTTACTCACCCTTGTCCTGCTCTTTGCAATTGCACAGCCCCTGGAAACCTGCTTAGTCATGCCTGTCCGTGTAAAGGTCAGGCATCCCCCTCCCCATCTTCACTGCTGATCCCGTGCACGAAACCCCTTAGTTTAAACCAGCCTGTCAGCAGCTAGTGTTGCCCACTATAGTCAGTCTATAAAAACTCTGTAACCCCTTTGTTCAGGACTCAGAGCTTGGAGTGTTAACTCCTCGAGGCCCGCCAGCGTAATAAACCTGAGTTCTCCAACTCTCTAAGTGTGGTGCTTGGTTTCTTGATTTCTGGTTTCTGCAACAATACATCATTTAAACAACTGAGTTGGCAAAGACTGTATCTCTGATGTAAGATTACTGCCCCTGAGATTTATGAGTTCATGCATAATCTGTCACAAAGTCTGTTAATTAAAATATTTAAATATACAATTAATGGTTTTTAAATTCAAAAGACAAGTCAATGAAAGCACTATAAATATAGAAAGGTAGAAGTCTTCAGTATTCTAGCATCTAGAACAGTACACTACCTGACTTAGACTGGAAATCACATGGGTGATTCTTTAAATACCAGTTTTACGCATGCCCTCAGGCCTTCAGGATAAATTGTGTGGGCATTAATTATGTGCACAGTTCATTTCCCCAGAAATACTTCAATGAAAACATTTCTTACCTGTATGCATTTCAATCTAAAATGCCCAGATCAACACAAACCACCTACAGGTATATTCTAATTTACAAAGAAAAAAAGAATGGAATGGAAAAACTCACTATAATTACAGCTGTCTACACTACAAAGAAAAAGCAGAATGAAACAACAAATAAAAGGCAAGCAGTACTTTTTCAAACACAGACAAAAATGTTCTTAAAAATCACCCCAATTTCCCAAGTTCACTAATACTCAAAATTAACTTAACACCCTTTTCATACAGGATAACTATCATAGAAATCATAACTAAAACCCAAACCCTACAAAGGAATGCTTATATTAAAATGTCCTTCATATAGTTATAACTGAATTAATTTCATAACTAAATTTTACAATATGAATCCAGCACACTATAATGTGAGACGCTGAATGAAAATAAGAGTATGAGAAATACACTAAGTATTACTGTCTCTTGGAGACCACAAAATTCTTGCAGCAGGAAGACCTGCAGAATGTAATTAAATAAAATCTGAAAATTATGACTATATTTTCACTTAAAATATTTTGAAGTCAGCATCGCTCTTACATTTTAATTTTTTTTTTCCATTTATTTTTATTAGTTGGAGGCTAATTACTTTACATCATTGCAGTGGTTTTTGTCATACATTGAAATGAATTAGCCATGGATTTACATGTATTCCCCAACCTGGTCCCCCCTCCCACCTCCCTCTCCACCCGATCCCTCTGGGCCTTCCCAGTGCACCAGGCCCGAGCACTTGTCTCATGCACCCAACCTGGGCTGGTGATCTGTTTCACCCTAGATAATATACATGTTTCGATGCTGTTCTCTTGAAACATCCCACCCTCGCCTTCTCCCAGAGTCCACAAGTCTGTTCTATACATTTGAGTCTCTTTTTCTGTTTTGCATATAGGGTTATCGTTACCATCTTTCTAAATTCCATATATATGTGTTAGTATACTGTAATGGTCTTTATCTTTCTGGCTTACTTCGCTCTGTATAATGGGCTCCAGTTTCATCCATCTCATTAGAACTGATTCAAATGAACGCTCTTACATTTTAAAGAAGACCTAAATTTCTTCTCTAAGAGACTGAAATTTTCTTCCAACAAAATCAGACTACTGTGGGAAACTGGTAATCTTTTCTTTTTAAATATTACATAACTTCTCCCTATGCCTGAGGCTAAATCAAAACCAATGAAACCGAAAATAGAAATGGAACTGCTAGATATTCATTCTTAACAAAGATGGAAATTATTTCTTAATTTTCAGGGAGCTGTATTTCAGGAATCACTTTCTCAATACATTAACCAGAATTATCAACTAGCAAACACTTGATGTTAATTAGCCAAAGTAAACCAGGTGAGTCATATTATAACATATACAGAACTGCAGTAAAGGAAAAACCAAAAATCAAGTGACTTTTTAAAGGTTAACTTTTCTCATACTACTATTTTCCAGGTATAACAGAGATATGGTTCATTAGACTCAGAAGCCTGTAGAAACGTATTGATCTCAACTACCAAGATTATAGAGTTCTAAAAAAGGAGGGGGGTAAAACTATCTGAATACCTGTTTTGAAAAGCCTGCAGTAACACTCAACTTGAGAAACAAACACACCGAACAGAAAACAAGAAAGCACGGTCAAAAAAAAAAAAAAACAAAAAAAGCAAGCTCCGTCTTCTACCACTTCGCCGCACCTTGCTCCAAACTTTAGCTCATTTCCTCTCCGTGGTTAACTTTCAAAATAAATGGGGAGAAACCTGTCGAAACGAATTTTTAGAAATAAGTACTACAGGTGAAGCAGAAATAAACTGTTTTAAGGAAGTTGCCTAACCATTCATTTACATACACCAAAAGACACCCACATTATTCCAGTCGGTGAAGATGCTACCTCATGAACTGCAGAGAAGCTGGACCTGTATATAACAAACCCTAGAGACGGCTACTCTCCCAATCGGGGGGAGGAAAAAAAAAAAACTATGTGGCTTTTCAAACACGCAGCTTCAGAGATGCGGGCTCCGCACAAATTCAAACGAAGTCCTACCATTCACAAGTGCAGCATCTCCGAGATGAGGCAGGGCTCGGGAGCAGGAATCCACCCACAGCCCGCTCTACTCCGCCGAAGAGGCCAAGCAGCCCCAGGCCGGGGCGTGAGGACGACTCCTCCCGGAGCCCGAGAGGAAGCGAGCCGAACCGCGCGGTGGAACGGAGCAGAGCGCGGGGAGGGAGGCGGGCGCGGGGCGTGGGCTCACCTGGCGCGGGGGGCGGTCCGGCGCGCGCGCCGCCGCCTCTGCAGCTGCGGCTCCTCGGCGACTGGCCACAGCGCCCCCGGACACAGCGCCCCAGCGCAGCGGGAGGGGCCCCGGTGGCCGGCGCCCGAGTTCCTCCGCCCCGGGCCCCGCCGCGCCGGCTCCGCCAAGGGCGCCAGCAGCTGCAGGCAGCGCCTCAGCACCATCCCGGGGCCGAGCAGGCGCCGCAGCCCACCCGGCGGCCCGAGGCCGCGCCGGGCCCTGGCCGAGCTAGGTTCCGCTCCACGTCGCCCGATCACTCACTCGTCGTGACCTTCGAACCTGGCAGCCCCGCCAGCGAACCTGGCAGCCCCGGGCTGGCCGCCGCTCTGGCCTTTACCAAGATGGCCGGACCCCGGCGGCGAGGCGCGCTGCGCCCCTCCCGGCCCGCCCCCTGTCCTTGCCCCACTCGCCCTCCGCACAAGCCCTTCTGACACCATGCTGGCTATCCTGTCCTAGACCAGACGCTAACTTGCAGATAGCTTGAACAGCTCCCGGATCAGCCGCCCTAATTGCTAAAATTAAATGGAATCGCGGTGGCGGCTCTTAGCCTGCTCTGTCCTAGTAGGCCAGTACCTGGTAGCAAGATACTTACGGTGATGACCAAATACCACCAGATTATGATTCTTAGCTTTTCCCCAGGTTTTCATTTTTGAATTGCAGGATGCAATTCATTGTTTTTTTAAAGTGTTTTAAGGTATAGACAGATGCAAATAGAATTCAACGATGAATGGTTGGGTGTTCACGGGCCAGAAAGAAATGCCTTCTGCCTGGGCCTCCGAATGCAGATACAACTGCGGGAAATGCAAAACAAATTACTTTGCAATTTGAAGGTGAACGTGCCAAGGGTAATAGCGTAGGAATGTAAAGCAGATTATAGCAGGTGTGGACTTTTACTCCCTCGGGGAGCTTGCAGCTGAATCTTATTGACTTAAGAGTGATTAAGAGCTGCTTCTTACTGGGTCACAGAGTGTTCCTCGCTGCAGCAGGGAAAAGAAACAGCGCTACAAAAGCAAACTCTAAATTGAAGATACTGATAGCTCAGGAGGTCTTCACAGTGCCCTTAACTAAGGAACTTTTGAAAAATGCCCTGTGTTCCTTTCACCCCAATTCTTTATGATGATTTTCAAATATACAGAAAATAGAGATGCCTTTTTGTTATACGTCTGAATAAATTGCAGGTATCAAAATCAATCACCCCTAAATACTTCAGCCTGTGTCTTCTAAAAAAATAAGAACATTCACCTCAGAATCACAATACCAATACCACATCTAAGACAACAATTCCCTGATAGTACTTAACATCCAGTCCATTTTCAAGTTATGTGATTGTCCCAAGAAGGTCTTTTAAGCCTCCCCCCCCCCCCCAAACTAAGATATTGCCTAGGCTCATGCACTGCATTAATGTTTATGCTTTCTAAACTCTGGAATATCACATAAACTTTATGGATTGTGTTGTCATTTCTACTCTACTTCTGTTGTAGAAACCACCACCCCCCCACCCCCACCCCCGCCCCCAGGGCCCCAAGAGCGGGCTCTTGTTTAACACTCGGAAAATAATTGTCCGAGGAGACATGTGCTGACAAAGCAAGAGGCTTTATTAGAAGAAGGCCCCGGGGCAGAGAGCAACAGGGTAAGGGAACCCAGGAGAACTGCTCTGCTCTCGGGTTTTATGGTGATGGGATTAGTTTTCGGGTTGTCTTTAGCCAATCATTCTGACTCAGAGTCCTTCCTGGTGGTGCACGCCTTGTTCAGCCAACATGGATGCCAGACAGAAGGATTCTGGGAGGTGGTCAGGCATGTGGTGTCTCCTTTTAACCTCTCCCGAACCCTTCTGGTTGGTGGTGGCTTATTAGTTCCGTGTTCCTTACCAGGACCTCCTGTTGTAAAACAACTCCTGCAAATGGTTACTATGGTGCCTGGCCAGGGTGGGCAGTTTCAGTCAGTGTGCTTCCACTAAAACTTCTAAAGCTTAATTTTTTTTTGACAATGAAAAGCTGTTTAGCATACCAATTTTTTTTTCTTTTTTTTTTTTTCTGTGGGGAAGGAAGAAGGAAGGGGTAGCATACCAATTTTTATCATTCCAGGCAAAACCTTGCTTGTCCTGCTTCACAGTACAGAGCAGAATGAATGCTGCGCCTCTTGCATTTCACTCATGGTTTAATTTTAGATCCTGACCTGCTGACTTGGGTTTTATATGTCCTTCACTCTTCGGTGACCCCTAGAAAGTCGGGCGTTTGGCATATAATGGTTTGTCTTTTAAGATGTCACTGTTAAAAACAAGACAAGAGGCCTAAAATGGAGTCACTTAATGCTCAACTCCCCATCACCAAACGGAGACTTATAATGTCAGCCTCTCCCGGAATTGGAATCTTAAACCAGTCAATCAAGGAATCACCTGGTCAGCACTCGTGAGATAATCAGCCTGATATATCTATCTCATGACAGGACACACCCAGACCCACATCATCCCTTAAAGGAAAGTGACCTTGTCACAACCAATTCACTTTCTGCTAGTATGACTTCCAGGTCCCAACTTCTTCTGCCTGTAAAGTTCTTTAATTTTGTACAGTGCCTTGGAGCTTCTTTCTATCTGTGAGATGGGAGGCTGCCAAATTCATGAATCATTGAATAAGGCCTATAAGATCTTTAAAATTTACGGTTGAATTTTTTTAAAACATTACTTCTTTTTTAAATGTTAATTAATGCTGTAAAGAAGAAGAGCAAATTTACACAGCTCCCTTAAGTGGTTAGGTGGCCAAGGTAACATTTCTGGAGACTAGTATTAAATGAACTTATTTTAAGTACTTCACACGTACTTCACAAAATCTTAAGCTCTACTTAAATAACTTCTTGTAAAACCACATATAAACCAATTTTAGCACAATAGCTCATCTGTAAAGTGAGTTCTGCAATCAGTATTGTCCTTTCTTCTCCCAACTCCAAGCCTAAAGGCACAGAGGACTAGAGCACCACGTGACTACTTACTGCTGCTGCTGCTAAGTCGCTTCAGTCGTGTCTGACTCTGTGCGACCCCATAGACAACAGCCCACCAGGCTCCCCCGTCCCTGGGATTCTCCAGGCCAAGAACACTGGAGTGGGCTGCCATTTAGGGGAGTTTAATTCAATGTGTACTTACAGAAGCACCTGTGGAATTAACTACTGCATTCACCTCCAGTTAAATCAAAAATTGTCTGCATGAACATTAAGAATCTATAGATAACTCCAAATAGCAATGAGGCAGCTAACTTGTAAATCAATGAGGCAGCTAACATCTAAATCTACCATTAACTACCTCTTTGACCTTGGAAAATACCCATCTCACATCACCAGGCCCCCACTCCTACCCTCCAAAATGACCAAGTCTCTATGGCCACTTACAGTTGTAACATTCAATGACTCTAATAAAAAAGATTGTGGGGGGTGGATTAAATATGTGAAGACTGCATGCTGATTCCAGGGTAAGGTGGATTACATTAAGCCAATGATCAACCAAAGTTGACTTGAGGACAAGGTCTAATCTGCCCCCTAGTTTGTTTTGGTTCTGATTCAAACTAGTTCTCAAAATATAAAATCCTCAAATTTTACATTATAGTAATACTTTTTCATTTCTTGTATTGGGGTAAAAAACACATAACTGAAATGGTTAAGGTGGAAATTTTTAAAGGTACAGTTCAGTAGCGTTAAGTATGTTTACAATGATGGCAAACATCTCTAGGATGATTTCATTGTGCAAATCTAAAATTCTATACTCATTAAACAATACTCTCTTTTCCCCCAACTCCCAGGCCTTGGTAACCACCATTCTATTTTCTGTTTAGGTGGATTTGACTATTCAAAAACTTCATCCAAATGGAATCATCCGGGCTCCCTTCAGCAGCACATATACAAATGGAATTATCCAATATTTGTCTCTCTATGACTGCCTTCTTTTTTTTTTTAGGTCTTTATTGAATTTGTTACAATATTACTTGTTTTATGTTTTGGTTTTTTGGCCATGAGGCACATGGGATCCTAGCTCCCGGACCAGAAATCAATCCCCAACCCCTGCACTGGAAGGCTAAGTCTCGACACTGGACCATCAGGGAAGTCCCATGCCTTACTTCTCTTAGTGTGATTTTCTCAAGGTTCATCCATGTTATAGCATGTGACATTTTCTTCCTTTTTAAGGCTGAATAATATTCCACTGTATGTATTTGCCATACTTAATTTATCCATTCATCTGTCAATGGACATTTGGGCTGCTCCCACAGATAAGACTGTCAGATATTTCTCCAGAAAATGTAGGTTTATTTTGGGTCAACAGAGAATTGCAATCCAAGGTCTGCAACCATGGTGAGCCATATGCAAGTCCCCAGAGAGGAATGGAAGGAGCATGCTTTCATGGAGGAGGAAAGGGAGTTGGGAGGGCTCAGGAAACAAACAGTTCATGACTTTCCATTGGCTGAATCCTTGCCAGGAGAGAAGAGTCTGTTTCCTTTCCATTGGACTCTGCTATCATCCCACGGTGTGACAGCTTCCCCTCTGGTCTCCCAACTCTATTTAATTGAGGTTTATTAATTTTAAAGTTTCCATAGTGGCTACATCATTTTACAGTTCCACCAATAGTGCACAAGTGTTTCAATATCTCCATATCCTCATCAACACTTGTCATTTGTTTTATTGATAGTAGCCATCCTAATGGGTATGAAGTGATATTTTGTTGTGATTTTGATCTGCATTTCTCTGATGATTAGAGATATTGAACATCTTTTTGCATACTTGTTGGCTGTTTGTTAATATATACCATCTTTGGAGAAATTTCTGTTGAACTCCTTTGCCCATTTTTAAATTGAGTGATTTTTGTTATTGTTGAATTGTAGAATTCTTTATATATTCTGGATATTAACCGCTTATCAGAAATATGATTTGCAAATATTTTCTTCTATTCCATAGGTTCTTTTCACTTTATTAACCATGACCTTGATGCACAAAAGTTTAAGTTTGGTACAGTCCCATTGTCTATTCTTACTTTTATTACCTGTGCTTTTAATGTGATATCTAAGAAATCACTGCCAGTCCAAAGTCATGCTTTTCTTCAGTTTTCTTCACTTTTATAGTTTTAGGTTGTAACCTGTTTTTGTATAGCCTGTGAGCTAAGAATGATTTTTTTTTTTTTCAGTTTTAC